GAGAGGGATAAATTAGAGTTAGGTTATATGTGAAAATTTGAGAAAAATATAAAAATAGGAATTTTTTTTTTTTTTGTGAAGATAAAAGCATGTTTTGCAGAATGATTTATTGTTTAGTATTTTTTTAATTTTCTTACTATGGACAAGGTGGAAGATGCATTCGAAAAACAACATAAAATGGAGATAAATATGGAAGGAGTATAGCCATGATGAGCTATAAGCCACCATGATTGTGGAAGCACAAATCATCTATTTGTGGTCATCCATTGCATATGTTGGAAGACACCATCTCTACCTTAAAGTGAGAAGATGGATTTAAATACATGAAAAAAATTTAATACACTTCATTATATGAATTATCACTAAATAAATCATATAATCAAGTCATAGAAATATCCAAATCTCTATATGATCGTCCACCACCAAATGGAGGAGAGAAGAGATCATATTGGCACAAACCCAACGCTTCTTTTAACTCATATTTTTTAGTTCTTATACATGATGGGGAGTCCCATAAAGTTTAGAGGGTTACAGAGACTACACAAGAAAAAAACTAAAAAAAATATTATCTTTGGTATGACCAATTACAAACTATGCATAACACATTATATGTGTTGGTGGGTATCCATGTGACATCGAACCTCTGACAAGACATTCAATTCTAGATAGATCCACATGGTGAGTCTTAGTAAGTGAGTATACCTTAAGCATCTTTGAGTTGAGTAATGATGAGCGAGCCCTCTATATGTGAAGGAAAATATGGAAAGATTGTATCTAACCTATAGTTTCGAAGGGCGGGTCGATCCCTTTGAGTGATGATGCCCGCTGTTGCAGATCTGTTTTCATGGTTTATGATTTTGATGATAGCAAACACTCTTATTTCTCTACGACGGCTTTATTTACTAACATTTCAGGTCCACACGATCAGACTGCAATTTGGAACCAGCTCAAGATTGGGTAGATTAGGTCTGAGTCAGTTTGTGCACTTTTTCCTTTCTTGAGTCTATTGTATTTGGTGTGGCTCCTGATGTTTTGTAACTTGTAAGATTTTCTGTTGCTCCCTAAAGATTTCTATTTTTGGTAACATCGTCCGGGACGAACTATCCAAAAGCAGAAACCCTAATTAGGGCATCATCATTAAAGCAGTCGTCATCATGGAAAATACATCGTCCTGGACGATTTTGTATCGGCCAGGATGATAGCTAGGCTCAATTCAGAAAGAATCTGTCGCCATATCTAATTAGAAATAACCTATTTTTGGACATCATCCAGGTGGATCGTCCAGGACGATCCAGGTCACTTTTTCCAAAATTTCTCTGGAATTTAAAGAAAGCAATTATGACTTGATTTTATGATCAAATCAGCCTGGACGATCGCCAAATCATCCTGGCCGATGTGTTGGATGACTGGACACCAGATAGCTGTTTTTCAGGGCGATGTTCAGGACGATATTCCACTATTTGTACTGATCTTCCAGGACGATATATTATCGTCCTAGACGATATGAACAAACTTCTTCTGATCGTCTCAAATCATCCCGGCTGATTGGGCTTAAATTGCACTGATCGTACAGGACGATATTAGTATCGTCCTGGATGATAATGTCGGCAACTTGCATTAATGAGCTTATTTTTAGCTCTTCTATTTAAGCTATGAAAAAGCACTTTGTAAGTGTCTTTGGCAGCCATTATAGTTTCGTTCTTGTGGGGGAAACTTAAAGAGAAAGCTTGAAAGGGAGTGAGGAACAGGTGAAGTCTGAGAGAGGGAGAAGATCCTATGAGGGGGACTCAAGGGAGTGTGGAGGGGGATTCCACACGGTTGCTCCAGCAGGCTTGCACCTTAATACCGCCGGATTCAAGGCTTGTCTCGAGGGAAGTTCACCAAAGAAGAATATCTCTTTTGTGTCAAAGGACCCGGCGACTCCGCCGCACCAGGAAGGTGGAAGTGATTTTGTAAGTGCTTCTCCGCCTAGCTGTGGGGGCTAAAGGAGAGACACTTGTTTTAGTGCAATACTTGGAGGGTGCCTCCAAGGAGTGGACGTAGGTCAAGGTTTGACCGAACCACTATAAATCCGATGTGTTCTTTCTTATTATTTGCTTCCGCATTTAATTTCCGCATTTGTTTTATTTGTGGTGATTTTGATTTGTGTTTTGATTTAAAGTTTCTTCTTTACCAATTCACCACTCTTTTTATTTAGCCTTGGGCCAGTTCTATAGGGCTTAACATCCCTAACGAACTTTCACCCGCGAGCGAAGGATTGACCAAGTCAAGAGGACTAAGGCTTTGATAATCCAAATTTCTAAAATGATTTTTTTTAAATGAAAATTTTGAATTTCAGCTTTGTGTTTTGTCGAAGAAGGAAGATGAGGAAAGGAAGAAAAGATGAGAGAGAAAAAAAAAAGAGAAAAATAATTTAAATTGTCAGAACGCTTTGCCATTTTTGTGGAATTTGCTTAAATTGTGATAGGTGACTCTTATCCTACTTCTATTTTCAAATATTTTGATTTCAACTGTTTGATTCTCTTCATAACTAACTTTATTGTTATTTTCTTGTATTTATTGAAGTTCTATTGCATAATTTTTTTATGTGACATCAAACTAATTATTTTGGAGATTTTGACTGTAACATTTCTGAACTTCACATGATAAAATAGAAGTTATTAATTTTTCTAGAATAAAAATAAGTATTTTTATTGAAAGATATTATTAATACAATCATTGTGAATGAATATAGACATAAGGTTGAGTAATAGCTTGTCGTTATTATTGTTAAAACTTTTTATATAAATATATGTGAAAAATAAGTAAAAGGCTGATTTCAGTGATGTTGGCTGGAGAAAAACTGAACTATACAAGATGGTGGGCTAATGAGCTTTCCTTTAAATATATGATTTGTTATTATCCTCGATTGATCACGTGATACTTATTAGAATTTATAAAGAGTTATTAATATGCTAACAGACAAATGAGTGATGACATTATTTACTGAGCCAATGGTTACTGACTTCTTACTTGATTAGTATGATTATTGAAATGCATGCTACTGATTCATTATTATTATTACTATTTACTGATTTATTGTCACTTACGAATTTACTGTTACTACTGCAAGTTTATAGATGCCAATATTGTTATCAACGACATAGATTTATAATATTACACTGATACTGAAACTGATGCTACTACTGGTATACTGTTATTATTGTTGTTATTATTATTGATTCACTGTATTATTTACTGATTGATTGATTATATGGCATATTGAGCTTGTGATTACGATATTGCACTGATACTAATATATAATGTGATTATTGTTATTAGTTTACAACATTGATATTACTACATATGGTTTACTGTATTATATGATTTACAATAGCATTTATCTATATGATTTATTTATTGATTGTCACTAATTGATAATACAAATACAATGACTTCTTTATGGTTTCAACATCTGTACTGATTTATTGATTTTTACAATGTACTATTTTACTGATTTTCATATTATACTATTTACTATTTTCATATTCTACTATTATTGCATGTGAGATTTACTGTTTCTCCACATATTCGTGATTATATAAATATTATTGTTATGATTTAGCTGCTGACATGCATATTACTTCTTTATCGTGTTTTAAATTTAATTATAATATTTTGGTGACCTATTGGGCTATTTAGCTTATTATATGTGGTTTGAATGACTTCAGGTCATGACAAGGGAGCAAGAGTGTAAGATTGATTAGAATTCCTTAGGTTATGTTCCTTTTTGTTTTAGTTATTCTTTTGTGTTTAAGAATGAAAGGTTGTTTTATGATTGTATGATTCCTGAGTATTATATATGATTTTTGAGAAATGAATAAAGATGCATATGGATGTTTTAATCAATAGAATTTGCTTCTGTTGATATTTGATTTTTTTACTGATAAATAAAATTAGAAAGCTCTTGTTGTCATATATTAAAATATAAAAGAAAGAACTTTTCCAAATTAGATTATGGAGCATTACATAGGCTATGAATCCCATGCAACACTTTCTGTAGCTAGATCAAAGGATGTCAATGGCGACTTAACGATATGCATAAATAGTGAGTAACCTAAGTAGGCCGATCCAAACTAAGATGAGGGATTCCTAAGAGTTTGAATGCACTATACGAGTTCTTCAATGCAGATGTCTAGGATGACTCCTTGATCTAATCAATCAAGATAAGTCACCTTTCATGTTGGGTAGTGCTTTTAGAGGGGGTTATGATTGCTTTAGCCAAGTTTTCTTATTGAAACCTAGTCCCTCCTCCCTCCCTCCCTCCCCCCTCCGTTTTTTTCCCTCCCCCAGTCCCCCCTCATATTTAAGCAAAGATTAGGGACTCAGAAAGTTCACATGAGTAATGTCGTGTCTTGATCTCATCCATTGAAACCACAATCCACAAATTGAATCCATTTATGCTGTTTCTCTCCCTGATTCCCTCTTCTTCTTCTTACTATTTTTCTTCAATGATCCTTGAAGATTTGGAGGCAAAGGTTTGCTCTTTATACAACTCGCCATCAATGAGTCAGGATTTTGATTAGTTCTTCTTCCTTGTATTTTCTTCTTGAAACTTTCGTTTGATTTGAAGGCATTAAATTTAGCCATTTTGGATTGCGGAATGCCTCCTTTTGTGGTTTTGTTGCAGAGTTTGTTCTGTCTAGTTTGATAGCTTGTTACGCTGTTTTAATGGAGGATTTTTCTAGGAATTATGATCTCTTTGTTAAAAGACAGGATTTCTTATCAAAATTGTATTTTTTTGCTATCGGAAAGAATAGGATGGCTGAAAGGATTTGGCTTTTTGGGGTTTTTTATGTTTTGTTGCAGAGTTTTTTGATGATTTCGTTGCTCTGTTTGAATGGAAGAGTTTCATGGTTTATGACCTCTTTGTTAAGAAATAGAAATTCTTATCAAAATTATATCTTTTCTTACAGTGAGCAATAGAAAGTTCAACTCGGGATTTCATTTTTGAATCAATCCGTATGGGATTACCCTTCTCATGCCCTGAAGGCGAAGGAGAGGCATTCAACAACAGCTTTGAATCTCTCCTCTATAAAAGATCCAACCTTCGTTCTCTATGTTCCAATTGCTGCGACTCGGAGCCCTCTCCAATGACTTTTGGATCTGGGAAGCTTATTATTGAGGAGTCTGTAACAGTCGAAAGAAGAGAAACTGAACCACTCCAAATGGAAACAAAGATTTCCATTAAGAGCCCTTCGGACGAAGATAATAGCAGCAGCAAAGAAAGCCCATTGAAGCCCTCCAGGTTCAGTCAAGAAGCTCTTGTCATACCCCGGCTCAAACTTGGCTGCCTTAAACACGAAGCTGCTTTGAAATTGCAGAAGGTATACAAAAGCTTCAGAACAAGAAGACAACTTGCTGATTGCGCTGTTTTGGTGGAACAAAGCTGGTCTCTTTTTTAATTAGAATCACAAAGTTGTTTGATTATAAGATTCTCTTCAACTATCACTTTAATTTTAATTTGCGTTTTTCTTGCTAAATCAAGGTGGAAATTGTTGGATTTTGCATTGCTTAAGAGAAGCTCAATATCATTTTTCGAGATTAAAAAGACTGAGTCTATTGTTTCCAAGTGGTCAAGAGCAAGAACCAGGGCAGCTAAGGTATCTATCCACTCAGTTGTAAGATGATGTTTCAATCTAATGTTCATACATAAAAATCTCTTTTTTCTTCGTTTTTGGCTAGGTTGGCAAAGGTTTATCCAAGAATGGAAGGGCTAGAAAGCTAGCATTACAGCACTGGCTTGAAGCAGTAAGTATTCAGAACAAGAAGAACCCTCTCTTTCTCCTTCTTTAATTTGCAACATGGCATTCATAGATTTTTCCTGCAATTTTGAAATCAGATTGACCCTCGTCATCGATACGGCCATAACCTTCAGTTCTACTACGAGTGCTGGCTTCGCTGCGAGAGCAATCAGCCTTTCTTCTACTGGTAGATTGATAAGTTTATTCACTCATCACAGCTTTTGCAGACAAACTATGGCTGCTTGAATTATTCTGTGCTAAAGATTAATTGTTAAAAATATACAGGCTCGACGTAGGAGAGGGGAAGGAGATTAACCTGAATGAGTGTCTAAGATCAACGCTTCAACAGCAGTGTATCAGATATCTTGGTCCTGTAAGTAGTCTTCTTTAAGCAGCAAAGCCTGTTTGCACCAATAAGGTGGCAAGAATAGCTAAAAGAGGATATTTTACTTCTGCAGAAAGAGAGAGAGGCTTATGAGGTTATTGTTGAAGATGGTAAACTCATCTACAAGAAGAGCAGGGAGTGCTTGGACACAACTGGAGGGCCAATAGATTCAAAATGGATATTTGTTCTTGGCACGCTCAAGAATTTATACGTCGGCCAGGTAAACTTAAAATTTTTGTGCTAAAAAATCGCTTTAAGAAGCAGTACTAAAAGCCATCCCAAACGAAGCCTTGGGTTCTTTCAAAACATTTGTTATTCTCATATTCATCATTGTCATTATTATACTTATCTCAATTATTTGGAGCTAGTTTGTGAATTTGCTTTCTTTATCATACAACTTCTATCCAATCAGTCGAAATCGTCAATGATTTTTTGCTACTTTATCTTCTGATATCTCATTCATCAATCCATTATTTTCTGGTATTCTTTCCAATATATACTATTCTGAACTATTGTGGTAATGGCCTTGATGATTACAGAAAAAGAAAGGCATGTTTCAGCACTCTAGTTTTCTAGCTGGGGGAGCTACTTCTGCAGCTGGAAGTTTAGTTGTAGAAAATGGAGTTCTGAAGGTAAAATTAACTAAACTCTCCATAATTTTCTCCCTGCGCCCATAATTTTTTTGATAAACCAGAATACTAAACTGATCTCAGATTTTTTTCCCCCAGGCTGTATGGCCTCATAGTGGGCATTACCGCCCAACCGAAGAAAACTTTGAAGAGTTCATGAGCTTCCTAAACGAAAACAATGTAGATCTTAGTGATCTTAAGGTTAATCACAATCTTTTCTGTCTTACAGCTCGTGATAATAATCCAAAGATATGTTAATCTCTCAACATTTGTTCCCATCTGTGCAGAAAGCCCCAGCTGAAGATGAAAATGAATGGGGAAGAAGACTTCAAAGCCCTCCCTCAGAACCAGACTTGATCGAAAGAAATATCTATTCCCAGTCTCAACTTGAAGAAGCACAGCTACCATCAAATACGTCAAATGATTTGGATCTTAAATCTGCTTGTGAACCAAAGCAGAAAAGGTTCAATGACAGAACAATAGCAGAAGTAGAAAATAGTTGCGAAGCATCAAATCATTCACATGAGACAATTGAAAATTCCAGAGCTGGTTCTTCGCTTTACAAAAGAAGATTTGGGTTCCACAGCCCGAATCTTTTCATCCAGCAGGACGATGTGGTCAAAGAAATATTACCAAAGGAAGAAATTCTTCTAAGGTTTTATAACAAGGAAGGGATGAAATCATATCAGTTAGGAGAACAATTATCTTTCAAATGGACTACAGGTGCTGGGCCTCGCATTGGCTGTGTGAGGGACTGTCCTTATGAGCTCCAGTTTCGAGCACTGGAACAAGTTAATTTATCTCCCAGAGGAAGTGAGAGTTCCAGGCCGTTTAGTTCATCCATGGTTATACGAAGCCCAAGGTCAAAGATGCAGGAATCATCTACACTGCACAAGAGTTTATTACAGAATCTAATAGCAAGGGATAGGATCTGAACGTGTTTAAATGTCTAGAAGATGAGATGATGTGGCTTATTTTTGTAGAGGTAGAAGAGATCACTGTAATTACAAGAAGCTTTTTTGGTTGGATTATAAAAAGAGGGATTTACATATGTAGCACTCAAAGTATTAGAATTTTTATATTTGATATCTAGATTTCATTGTTTCCATACATAATGTGAAACACTTTAAGTAAAAAGAAATTAAACTCTTAAACATCGAGAGTTTAAACTCTTAAACTCTGAAACACTTTAAGCGTGCTCATCCAAGCGAAATCCTGGGATTGGTGACCTTCTAGGAAGTTATCCCAACATGACAAAATCGTGAGGCCCTTAAGCCAAAGCAGATAATATCTCAATAGTTAAGGAGTTTGAGTTGTTACATATAACACTAAAATCATTAAAATGAAATAAAAAATTATACCTCTCATTAGCATCCTGTCATTTGTCCTTGTGTCGCCAATCTCATAACCTTTCATCATTGGATCCATATGATGCAATCGAGAGAGATGGAGTGATAGGAGCAAGAGACAACTCACCATATATTGAGAAAGATATGGACGAGTTGCGGGGTTTGTGAGCTGGCTCGAGCTTGGCTTGATAAATGGTTCGTGAGCCTAGCTTGATGAGCTAATGAACCAAGCTTGAACTAGTCCCGACTTGACTCGTAAACTATTGAGTTGACTCATTTAGAAAATATTAATATAAAATATATTAGAATTCAAGATTTTAAATACAAAATTGTTAAAAATATTTAAAATTATATCCTAATTTCTTATAGTAAGTAATTTATTATTATTATTCTTATAATTTCTTATTTTATTATAATAATTACTTAAATCATAATTATTTTTTTTTATTTCATAATAAACGATTAAGCTCGATACCCGGCTCAAACTTATAGAATAAAGTTGAAGTTTGAACTCGAACTCGATTAATTCAAATTCAAGCTCAAGTTAGAGGTAACACAAACTTGACTCGACTCATAACACAAACTTGACTCGACTCATTTACACCTTGAGTTTATAGTTGTTTATGTCTCAAAGAATACTAAAGGATCTGCTGCTGAAATAACTATTTGCAAGAAAAAAGGATAATCGATTACTTGTTGTTTATAAAGAAACAAACATTTTGGAGCTTGTCCGCACCACACTTTTCGTGCTCTCTCCGCATTATTAACAACCATGGATTTCTTTAGCTTGTCTTTGGCTTGCATAGACAAAAAGTGGGGGTGTCAATATTTGACACAACATAAAAACCTAATTCGAACCCGTCTCAAAAAATTCAGGTTAGGGTCAACCTATTTTGCAAACGGGACAGGTTCGGGTTGACCCAGAAACCCAAACTCAACCCGGGTTAACCCAAGGAAATCGCTCGTGAGTCACGTCTGCGCTGACACGGCTAGTCCCATCCCATCCCCATCTGCACTAACATGGCTCTTCTTGTCCCGTCCGCTACCGCTATCGAGTGGTTGCCATTCATGCACAGTTGGATCAAAAGCAACAACGATGACGAGCCGACCTCGCCGTTCACCTAAAAGTTGGATAGGAAGCAACAATGTCGACTCGCCGCCGACGAGGAGCTTATTGTTTTGTTTTTTGTAGTTGGATCGAAAACAACAATGACATCAGGAGGGAGCTCGTTGTCCACCTACTCAAAACGAGTCTGCGGGTTGGATCAGGCCAACCTTGTGACCCATAGGAGTATGGTTTGAGTTAAAATACATGACTTTATTCGCAAAAAACGAGTCGAGTTCTAGTTGGGTCAACTGACCTGTTTAAAAAAACGGGTTGGGTTTGATGAGGTCATCGACAGACATTTTAGGCAGGTTTATCGGCGGAAGAATCGTAGATCGACGGCTACGATCGGGAGTTTATATTTTTGATGTTATCATGTCATTTTATGTTATTTTATTTTGTGTGTCTTTTATTTCATGTACTAGTGACGATTTCGCCCTTATATAGGCGTAGTGTTTATTGTAGCCCAAGGGGCATGTGAGTCTTTTTTTTTTTCATGCTTTGAGACCTTTATAAAGGGGTCTCTTCTTGTTGTATGAGGTTAATGATTGATTAATGAAAATTTCTGAATTTCTTCTTTGTCTTCTTGCTTGAGAGCTTGAGAGAAACTCATCGAAAATCTGAAATTCAAATTTCAGATTTTTCTTCTTACTCCTCTCTAGCTCTTGGCCGAACCCCTCCCTTGTTTTCTTCCCGCCTTGCTTCAATGTTGAATGGCGGATCCGGAGCTTGAGTGGGGGTTAGTTTTCCACGCCGACGGGAGCATCGATATCTAACGCTCTCCTTGCTTCGACGTAGGATTTGAAGACGAAGCCACAATCGAAGAGTACTTGGAGCGAGTCGTCCCAATCCTCGCAAGTATTTTCGACCGACAATTTCGTGGTTGCACTTGGACGATCATTGGACGCCATCCGCCACCACCTTCTTCGGTGAACACCTTTCCGGCAACAAAGTCTTTCGTCGCCTTCATCGTAGTGGTGCTCTTCATCCTCGCATGGTTCTTTCTTCTCCGCTAAAAGAGTGAACAAGAGGGAGAGAAAGGGTACTCAAGGTGAACTTCTTTATTATTAATTGTGGGATTTTTGTTATGAGCATGTACGTGTTTCCTTTATCTTTGAATGATATGATCGGTTTGGTTAACTCAAAGCACATCTTCGCCTAAGCAAGTTAACTACTTTGAACGATTTAACCCTTTACTTTTGTTGGTAATTAAAATTTGTTATGACACGCTTTGAATAATCTTTATTTTAATTTCCGAACGCAATTCCTACATTGATTCACATCAGGGTTTGTGATAGGTCAACTTATGTAGGGTTAGTTTCATGTTAGACTCAAATCAAATGCGTGACTCGATTTTGATAGACCTAATGAAATGGTCGTTTACTACAAAATCAGGGGGGCAGAAGCGTAAATTTATGTGTCGTTTACTACATAAGTACATATTGGATTCATTAGGGTTTCTGGGCTTCTTAAAGTTGTCAAGGATATTCGCGTTCGCAGCCGCTGTGTTTCCTATTTCCTACGGGTATAGCGAAGAACGAGTAGCGAGGTTCGCATGCCTTTCTCTTCTTTTATCGTCTTCTAAATTGTTTGTTCCATTTCTCTTATTTTTATCCTATTTATCTGATTTTTTCGTAGTTTGTTTCACCGATTTTTTTCATGTCTTTTGTGTGTTTTTTATCAAATCAAGTTAAGTTTTAGGTGTTTTCTCCATTCGTATCATAATTTAATCGTTTGTTTTTTTTTTTTTTTTTGGATGCAAAGGAAAACATTGGTGCCCTAGATAAACCAATTAATTGAACGATCACTTCTCATATGCCTCACAGATTAGATTTTGATAAATTTTGAAATTTTGGTGTTACCTAGTGCAATTTGAGTGGCAGATCAATTGACCTATTGACCCTGCTTCGTTTATTCATCATTCTATTTTGTCTTTTAGGTTATTTATCCGCTATTGGAGGAGATTTTATTGCTAGTTTCGTTCAGTGGGACTTTATGTTATTTTAATGGACGGAGTGGCATTCTTTTTGATATTCTACAGTTATCGTAATAGTTAGATTATGATATTTGAATGTGTTTGGTTAAGATTGTAAATCTGATTTCAAATAAAATGGATAGAAAGCATGTGACATTGGTGTGATATATTGTGGCATTTTATTGCAATTTTTTTTAATTTTACTTGTTAATTAACTGGGTTTATATCCTATGCCAGTCATACAAAACACTTTAGGTGGTTTGACTCTTCTCCACAAACCTGATCTTTTTTTCTTCCAAAAAAATGCTTTGATCGAGCCCGTTCGACCGGACTTTGCAGTCTGAGAATCAATTAACTCCATTTGTCTGATTGGGTTGTCTTGTTTATGTCATATCTTTGTTTGATCTGCTTCATTTATGTTGTTTTCGGCTTGATGTAAAGGGAAAATTGTCATTTATGCTCTATGGCAAGATACCATGATTTTTTAATGTCATTTATAACATTATTTGTTGAATGAAATCCTTTTTATTTTTCACTCAAAATTTTTGCAAGTCTCAGTTTGCATGGGTTTGTTGGGATGCCATCTATTCCTGAGTGTATGAACTGTGTGGAACAGCTCATTTCCATTTTCCAATATAAGATTCTCTTTCATGCCTCCAATCAAGGCATCCCCTTTGTTTTTCATTTATTATTGCTCAGCACAAATCCCTTTCACCTGCTATTCGTTGTAGACATTGCTAGACTGACCTCCTCATTGGGGCCCTAACACATACATGGTGGCAATGGGCAATGGGCTTATGTTGAAAGGTCAAGGATGTTGATATGGATGTTCAGGATGATCCATGAAGGTGAAGGTGATGAGGCATTATAGGAAAGTCAAATATGCAATTAAGGGTATTAAGGATGACCCTCCTTCTAGAATTGGAGACAACACGGCATAAAATGTAACAAACAAGGTGGCATAAGAAGGTCATGGAGACGATAATGTGTAGTCAACATGACCCTCCTTTTGAAAATGGAGTGACCATGAAGGTAGTAGACTAGTTGATGTGATAAAATTATAAAGGTGAATGAGGGAAATTGAGATAAAATATCTATTTAAATTTTATAAAGGTTGCATCTAGGTTCATTTGGAATATTCTGAAAGCTAAGATATAAAGAAATTTATAGCTTTGACTATAATTTAAAGTTCAAGTTGATTGCTTCTAATGTTCTCAAATTTGTCCATTCCCCCTTACCTAATATCTTCAAATTGTATAGTTCCCTACTCCCTTCAAAAGAGGGACTATCCTACTGCCTTTTTCACATCACCTTGAAGTTATATCATCCTCCTTTCTTCCACAAAATCTCGTAATAATCTTTTATCATCTGTCAATTATGATTTTTTCAATCTCCTCTCTTTTCAGAAGAGGGATAGTCCCTCAATCACTTGTGAACTTTAGATCTTTCAACCTTCTTCTTTCATGAGAGGGAATATCCATCTATCCCTTAATCTCCCATCAAATTTGTGTCATTCAATTCCCCATTGGATCATATTGATCACTCTTAGTTGCTGATCGGGTCCTTTAATCCTCCATTTTTTTAGGAGTATTGTATCTATCACACCGAATCATTCATCAGCTACATGTTATTCAACCTCCGTTCCTGGCCCTAAATTTCCCACCAATTTTAAGCAATTTAGCCCCCTTCTTTTATGAGAGGGATTATGAACACCCTCAACCACCCATTGACTTTGGGCCTTTCACGAGGGAGACAATATTGATAATTAACATCGGGCCATTTACTTTGGGGCTTTCAAGAGGGAGACAATATTGTTGATTAACTTCAGGCCATTCAATTTGCCTCCTTGTATGAGGGAGACTACTTCAATTTCCCTCCTTATAAGGGAGATTATTTCAACCATCCTTAAATGTTCATTAACCCCAGGTCATTTGGTCATCTCTCCTTTTAAAAGAGGGACTATCCTAGCGGCCTTTTTCACCTTCACATCTCTTCTGTGTTGCCTTGTCTGTAGTCTTTAAGTAATATCATCTCTACTTATAGGAGGATTATCACGCTACACCAATCTTCTCCAATGACATGACATGAATATGACAAATGGCAATGGAAAAGGGCGTGGAGTAGATTGATAAAGCTTTACAGTACTTCATGTATCACTTTATGTGTGACCTTCAGGTTGTTTTATCTCCACATTCAAAAGGAGGATCATTTAGATTACTCTCAATTTGTTTATATAACCTTCCTATCTCTCATTAACTATCATCAAATCATGCCACCATCACCTCTAGCAGAATCATCTTTAACATCCACAATAGCCCCCCCGACCTAATACCACCTCATCAATCACCCCAATGTTATATTGCCTTGGCATCTTGAAAGAGAGATTCTAATACTTGATTTTATTATATCATAAATATTGAAAATATCAATGACACATTAGTGACATGATATTAATGTATTCGTCAAGTTTGAAAAAATATGGCCCTTTGAAATACATAACTAGGCTAGGCCGTATAATTTCTCATTTCAAAATTTTTACATAAAAAATTACATATCTCAGTAATATACTTACTTTCCTAATTGTATGTATTAAAACATTCATAAGTAAAATAATCAATCTCTCTTAATTGGCTTGACTTCAATTTCTCAATAATTATAGAACTTTAACTTGCAATCAATATGAACGAATCTGGGAACCACTCGTTATAGAAAAAAATATTTCAAGATCAGGAATTCAAGCCAATACTTTATAATTTATGACTTATTATTCATAAAAAATTGCAGTCAATTCCCATGCATTCAAGCTAGTTATGAGTAGAGCGCAAGCCTATTTGCTTTTCAATATTGTAATTAAAGCAATTCTACATCAAATATTTGTCACTATGAGTTAAAAAAAAGGATATTTAAATACATATGACTAAAAATATCCGATTTATGTATTTAATACATAAATTTTAATATTTTATTTACAAACATAAGATTGCTAATGAAACCCTTACAAAATTGTCGATGATGCCACAAGTCATGATTAACAAGTGACATATTAAGTGGAAGATGAGAAATGGACCGAGGAAGAGGAGTAGAGGGAGCCGAGGGAGAAGAACAAGAGAAAGAGGAGAACATGGTCAACATATAGAAATAGATTTTAGCTATTCTTATTTTCATATTCTGATTTGGTCTCACTCGGGAATCATAGAAATTTTTTGAATTTTAACTACTTTAACACCTTTGACTGACTATGTTTGCTGGCCAACATCAATTAAAATTTGTATCCGAACAACTTTGACCAATGTTTTGAGATCGACACCCGCCAATAAAATTTGTCGTTTTAACTGTCCTAATTGACTTCCTATCCATGATGCTAGACGTCACCCTTCGTTGCTGATTGACACCTACCGATCAATGTCGAATTGTCAAATTTAGACGTCACCCTTAGTTGATTGATGAGGAAGCCTTTCATCAACATTACCATCCCCTAAAAGCCTTCAATAGTCTAAAAAATTGAGTTGAATTTCTATCTTCCTCGATCTTTTGGAAATGTGAACTTTTGTAATCTCAAGCAAATATTTAGTGGATCTATTCTAAATGGGCAATTCTCATGACTTTTCTTTTTAGATTTCTAGTTTTCTACACGAAAAATTTATGCCCTATGCCCTTCAAACCTTTATAATTTTAATGAAAACTAAAACATAACTACCAATCTATATCATAGTAGATTTTCTAGCAAACAATAATATTCAAATTAAATAATGTTTTATATTATAACATGTTCTGATATCCAACTTTGAAATATATTTGAATTCAATTTCAAAATTTATTTATATTATAGGGAATGTCATAACCTAGGTAAATATAGACTAATTTAATGCATATAAAGTTAAATATATAAATAAATGCCCATGTTCTATAAGGAGTCAATGTCTAATCAGCCATACTAGCTAGGAAAATTCTTTTTGAAATAAGGGGCATAGATGTAATTCTATTATGACAAGGTTCATGGTTGAAGAGGCTATATAATGAACTGATTAGGGTTTTTCAACCTCAGTAGCCACCTTAGTTTTTCCTTCTGGAATAGTGAATATCGAACAATATGTTTAGGGCTGCAAATGAACCGTACCGAGCCGAGTATGTGAGTGCTCATATTTGAGTTCGTTTATTATTAATATTAGCTTTTCAAGTTCGGTTCGTGTTTGATTCGAGCCTTATTGTTTTTGTTTATGTTTGGTTCATTTAAATTAATGGTGTTAATGTTCAGTTCATATTTAATTCGTTTAGTGCTTATTGAGCTTTAAACAAATAAGCCTTAACGAGCTATGTTCGTGAACATATTTAGCGAATTTTTTCACACTATCAAACAAGCAGGTTCATGAACAATTTTAATGAATATTATTGAGCTATCAAATGAGCAAGATCATGAATAAATACATAACTAGTATTTTCGAGCTATCAAATGATTTCTCATAGATTGTTTATTTGTGAATGAAAGCTCATTCACAAATAAACAATCTATGATTCATCTTATATGAATATATTTATTAAGCTTATTAACGAGTTCTAAATCAAACACTAATCGAGCTTCTTATCAAGCTTAATGTTGAGCTTGTTCAAGAGCTTCAAATGATATTGTTCGTGAACATACATGAACCAAACACATTAGTGTTCAAGCTTGTTTATTTAAGGATCGAGTATTAAAAATATTGTTTAAGTTTGTTTGTTTAGTTAAACGATCACAAACGAGCTTTAATTGAACTGAGCAACGAGTAGTTCTTCGAACATTTGGTTCACTTGCAGCCTTAAGTATGTTCTCTCTTTGTCCCAGTTTCTCCTTTATAGGCTGTTTTCTTGGTGGCCCCATGTTTGCTTGTTTTTTTTAAGCTTTTTATGTTTATTTTATTTAATCATCGAAACTGTTTAAGTTTTGCATCAATTTCATTTCCTGTGTTTTATATAATTCTGATTCATTCGAGAGTTTAAATTATTTTCATCATATATCTCTTTTTCACCACGCTTCGTTCATTTTGCGCTGCGCACTCTATTAATTTCTGAGTATGTTTAATATGAATGGAAAGGTGCATTTGAATCAATGTTTTTTTGTCACTGTAAGTACTTTTTCTGATGCTATCTCAGATTTCTGACTACTTGAGTCATTCTAGTGTAACGTTGCTAAGTTTTATCCTTCTTGCGTTATTTTCTCACATTATGCACTGTGTTGCCTTTTGTCATTGATAAAAATGGTTTCTAGCGACCCTATTTCAGGTCCCATTTGAAACGATCTTGTTACTTGTTCCTTCTAGGTAACCTTAGCTCATAGCAGTTAAAAAATTCAAATCTTAAACCTTCTCCTATTAGTTGCACTAGCGGATGTTTGCATTTGGACTTTTATATCTTGCGCTTGTTATGGGAGTGAACCATCCTTTTTGTTCTCTTGGTGAATAATTCGCATATGTTGATTGTTGGTTTGTACTATTGGTGCTAGTAACTTCTTGAGCATAAACTTTTTTTTTTAAGAATGTTTTTTATGTATCCTCTGCACCGTCTTGGTGCCCCATCTTCAAACTTTCTTACTTCACATTGCCTCTGCCTTTTAGTCTTTTGTTTGTCTCTCAAATCTCATGTGCATTATTGTTTTTTTAGGTATTATTTCATTGCTTCATTCTTTATATCTTAGATTGTTTTAAAGTTGTTCAATAGATGAAAATTATTTCTATTAAATGTATCATTTTATTTGTTGGAAATAAATATTTGATGTCTTATAAGTTTGTTAATTAAATGGTTATTGCATGCACATTATATATTTATATATGATATACAACTCATGAGTGCTCTAAGTAGTCAATATGTTGCTTCACTTTGTAACAACAATTTTGGATTTGGGCTAGCCTGGTTATGATTTGGGTTGGAGTCGGATTCGGATATACTCAAGTGACTCGAAAACAAAAAAAATTGACTTATTTAATTACTTATATTTTAGTGAAATCAATCTTTATCCTAAAAAAGTGAATTGCATGATTTGAGGAGATTACCCTGATTGTTGGAGAGGATCCGAATCTATGAAGAAATAGCATCTTATTAATTTATTGTATCATTTTGAGATTGTGGGACCCCTTTTTTTCCTTGCTAACCTGTTTTTTTTTTTTTTCTGTTTTAATTTAATCGTGATTCTTTTCACTGGAGATTGTGGTGCCGAATGTTGGCCATTAAAAGAGAAGCATAATACTAAGTTAAGTGCTGCAGAGATGAGGATGCTTAGGTGGATGAGTGGCTTTACCCTTAGAAATAAGATACAAAATGAGCATATTCGTGAAATGGTTGGAGTAGCTCCTGTGGAAGATAAGATTAGAGAGAGTCGCCTTAGATGGTTTGGTCACATTAAACGGAGGCTTTCCGATGATCCAGTTAGGAAAGTTGAGGTATTAGATTTGACTTATATTAAGAAAGGTAGATGTAGACCTAAAAAGACTTAGAATATATTAGAAATGATCTTTCTTTATTAGATTTAAATGAGAATTTGACTTTTAACATGACACAATGATGAAAAAGATTCATGTAACTGACCCCACGGAGTGGGAGAAAATTTGATGTTGTTGTTGTTGTGAACTTTCTACCCATGATTCATTCAAATTTCAACCGATTGAAAATATTATAGCACAGTATATTTGGCTTATGCTCTTGAACTTAACGTTGCTGCTGGTGCAGAAGATGGATTCTCAGGTGAAGCTTGCTGTTGTTGTGAAGGTGATGGGGAGAACTGGTTCTAGAGGTCAGGTTACCCAAGTCCGGGTCAAATTTATGGACGATCCAAATCGATTGATCATGAGAAATGTCAAGGGTCCTGTAAGAGAGGGAGATATCCTTACCCTCCTTGAATCTGAAAGAGAAGCCAGGAGGCTTCGTTGATCCTTCTCCATCTGTTTCTGCTTATGTTTTGGCCAACCTTTTGTTTAAATTTTGGTGAGTGTTGTCTCCCTGCTACTCTGCACTCATAAATATTAAATATTTATGCATTAGAAAAGCTTAAAGCTATGTTTGTTTTGGATTATGTGACATAAATTTCATTTTAAGCTTTTCAGTACATTCTGGAGTATTTATTCTTAATTTCAGCATCGGAATTTGTTGGATCTTAGCCAATGGCTGGCTGATTTTCCAAATATAAATATATAATGTTTGTTGTTTCAAATGAGGTTTTCAAAATTTAGCTGTTACTATTCTTTATTTATGATAAATATATGTGAAGAGTTTTGTTAGTTTTTTAATAGACTTGTATCCATGTTATGGACTTGAAGATGAAATCAGCAAGAAAAGATAATAAAAATAGTAGAAATTGAGAAATGATGGCTGATTTTTTTATTAGTAGTTCAACACTAGAGCAAAATGTAATGATCTATTATTTGTGAGGCAGATTGTCTTTTCCACTTAACCTAGGCAATGCTAGTAAGTCCTCAAGAAAATTCAAAAAAAAAAAAAAAAGAAATCTACAGCTAACTCTTGAAATAAAACATGAAAAACTAAGTCTAGAATCAACTATAATTAAACTCTCTAATTTTCCCCAAAAGCAGCCCCCTTAATTAATGTCCATCTCTTTCTTCATTTTAAAATTAGAGTTCTTTCCTTTTTTTTTTTTTCCATCTTATTTTTTTACTTAGTATATTTAATCAAAGCTTTGTTGAGCCCACAAGTGGGGCTGAACTTGTTGCCTGAATTGGCCCTAGCTGGGCAGGCGTTGGGGTCAGCTGATTGGGCCTCTCCCTCATAACAATACTCCCCTCCTCAAAATCTATCTTGTCCTCAAAGTGGAAGACTGGGAATTGTCTTATGATTGTCTCGTATGACTCCCATATGTTGTCATGCTTGGGCACATCCTCCAACTTGATTAGCACGCGCACCCCCGCTACTTCCAGAGGTTCCAAAATGACCTTCATATCCTCTATCAAAGTCGGAAGTATTGATGACATCATGTGCTATCCTTTCACATTCCTTAATTGTGAGACATGAAAGACTGGTGCAAAGATGATGAGGGTGGTAGCCTTAAGCAATAGGCTATCGCTCCAATGCACTCCAATATCTCATAAGATCCAAAGTATTATGGGGATAATTTCTCATTCATCCTTCTAGATATTGTTTTTTTGCTTGCAGAGGGCCTTAATTTTAAGTAAATTGTATCTCCGGGCTCAAAGTTTACTTCTCTCATGTGCTCATCAATCTTCCTCTTCATGATTTGTTGGGCTCTCAAAAAATTTCCCTTGAACTCAAATAATACCCTGTTCCTCTCCTCTAAGTACTGCTCTACACTGGACACAGGCATGGTGCTATGCCCATAATGAAAATCATATGGGGTGGATTTCTCCTATAGAGAATCCTCGGAGTGGTCTTCGCTGTTGAATGGTATGAAGTATTGTGCCAATACTTTGCCCAAGCAAGCCACCTTGCCCAACTCTTTGGCGTGTCAGATCCAAAATATCTCAAATATGTTTATATGCTTATATTGGTCACTTCTATATGACCATCTGTTTGGGGGTGATAGGTTGTACTTCTCTTTAGAACTATTCCTTGTAATTGAAACAACTCTCTCGAGAAGTAGCTAAGGAACACATTATCCCTATCTGTCATAATGGCCTTTGGAACTCCATCCAGGCACACCGCATCCTTTATGAAGATAGTAACCATAGTAATAATCATATAATGGTGCCTCAAGGGAATGAAGTGTGCATATTTGCTCAAACAATCCAGTACTACTAGTATCACCGAAAACCCCTCGGATAGTGGCAATACCTCGATGAAGTCCATCATCACCTTGTCTCATACCCTCTCCGGTAGGGCTAGGCGTTGTAGTAACCCTGTTGGCGATATGACCTGGTACTTGTGCCTTTGGCACACATTGAATTTGGCTACCCAATCCTCTAAATCACGGCGCATCCCCAACCAATATAATTTTGCTTCTAAACGACTGTAGGTTTTCAACGCTCATGAATGCACTCCCACTGCACTGCCATGAAATTCCTATAGCAGCTTGGGAATGTATCCTGATCCCTTTGATAGAATAAATCTTTCGTGATATAGAAGCTGGACTTCTCTCAGCATGTAGCCAGGATGACTATTCGGGTTCTGCAGTAACTCATCCCTGATCTTCCTTAGTCTCTCATCATATTCACTCTCATGTTTCAACTTTTCCCAATCTGGGACTAGGGGTACTGACAAAGCTGCTAACTGAGGCTTATCGATTCTCCTGGATAAGACAACCTGTTTTGTTTCTAAGCTCGGGCGGTACTGACTCTCAAAATCATATCCAGTAGTTTGGATAGCCATCGTTGATGCTCTTAAGTGATCATCCGTTGTTCTAGCAAATGCTTCAGGCTCCTCTTATCTGTTCTGACTAGGAAGTGTTGCCCCAATAAATAGAGTCGCCGCTTCTGAATGGCTTAGACAATAGCCATCAGTTCTCTCTCGCACATTAACTTAAGCCTTGCCCTGGCAGTGAGCACTTGGCTGAAATAGGCAATTGATCGCTGATCCTAAATGAGTACTGCATCTAGTCCTTATCCTGATGCATTTGTCTCCACCACAAACGGTCTGCTGAAGTTAGGACGTGCTAACACCGATACACTAGTCATCACTTTCTTCAATTGCTCAAAAGCCTGTGTAGCCATCTCCCCCACTTGAAGCTATCCTTTTTCAAGAAGTTTCAAATTTGAATATGCCTCGAGATTTGTGCATGATTATGACGGTTTTTTTGTGACATATCAAACTGGAATTTTTTACTAGAAAATTATTTTAAAAAACATAAAGAAAGCTGTTCCAAATGAAACCTTAATTTATTTATCCTCCCTATTTGGACTTCTTTGGAAAAGCAGCTTTATTTGTCATTGATAGTTTCCTGAGCAGCGTAGTGATTCTTTAATGAGTTAGTCAATAGAATCACTTGGACTTGTGATTTACCAATGCCACACTCCAAAATTTGAAATCAAAGTCCAAAGACAGAATAAATAAGAGGAGAACATGTAGGGAAATTCTATTTTGACCCCCCTGCGAGCCATTGAAGTTTTGTTTACAGTAGTTTCAAACAAATTACAATGTAGTTACACTAATTATTCAATTACAAGCAAAATACCCACTAATCATAACAATTCCCTACACTAATATAAAAAACTCAGATTAATGCAATACAAACTATTCGAATATGACACTAATATCAAAACAAATATAAGAATATTCAAACTCATCCTAATACCAAAATATTTTAACATAGTTTCCTTATATAGTAATTGCTTGAATTAAAATTTCTTGTCTTTTAGTCTTCTAGCTGTAAGCTATACTTCTTTGTTTCTTAGCTCATGCGGTATTGAATCTCAAAATCATATCTCAATAACTTGAGTAACCATTGTTGATGCTCTTTAGTGACCATCCATTGTTCTAGCAAATACTTCAGACCCCTCTAATCTATTTTGACTAGGAAGTGTTGCCCCAATAATTAGGGTCGCCACTTCTGAATGGATATGTCATTTGCCATCAGTTATCTCTCGTACACTGACTTGAGCCTTGCCTTGGCTATGAGCACCTCGCTGAAATAGGAGATTGATCATTGATCGTAAATATGTATTGGCCCCAATCCTTATCTGATACATCTATCTCCACCACAAACTGTTTGTGTAAGTTAGGAAGTGCTAACACCGATACACTAGTCATTACTTTCTTCAACTGCACGAAAGCCTGTGTAGCCGCCTCCCCCACTACAAGCTGTCCTTTTTCATAAAGTTTTCAATTTGAATATGCACCTAGATTTGTGCACGATCGAGATGATTTTTTGTAACATATCAAACTCAAAATTTTACTAGAATATTATTTCAAAAAGCATAAAAGATGTTGTCCCAACTGAAACCATAATTTGTTTATTCTCCTAATTTGGTCTTCTTTGGAACAACAGCTTTATATGTCATTGATTATTTCCTGAAACAACATAGTGATTCTTTGAGGAGTTAGCCAATAATTGTAAACCATTTGGACTTATGATTTTCTAATGCCACACTCGAAAATTTGAAATCAGAGTCCAAAGACAGAAGAAATAAGAGGAGAACTTGCAGGGAAATTCTATCTTGGCCCCCTGCGAGCCATTGAAGTTTTATTTATAGAAGTTTCAAACCAAATACAAAGTAGTTACACACTAAATATTCAATTACAAGCAATATACCCACTAATCATAACAATTGCCTACACTAATATTGAAAATTTAGATTAAAATATCATCATACAAATTGTATCAGGATGAGTTTAAATACTGCTAAATTTATCTTGCAATTAGTGTAGTGCAAATTCTTCAAATATAACTCATCATGATACCATTTGTATTAAGATATTCTAACCAAGTTTTCTTCTACAATAATTGCTTAAATGAAAATTGCTTGTCTTTTATTCTTCTAGTTCACCTTGCTGCTGCTATTTTTCCTCCACTATTTCCATTTAATATTGATCTTTCATCACCTCAAACAGAAAAATTACCTAAGTACTGCTGCTGCTATTCTTTCTACTACCACTCTGATTTTGATTGCTCATAACTCTCATAATAGAGTCCTTCGTCCCCACCGTTCTACAACTCAGAAAATCTCTCAGAACAAATGGTGCACAGCTGCGAGCTTTATTCTCACCACTTTCCTTACTTTTATCTTCAGTAAGCTGCCTCCCATTCTCCACATGAACAATTTCTTCATAGCTGAGTTTCTCTACTCTCTTCATCTCCTCCTTTGAAGAATCTATCTTGAAAACTGCAGTTTTCCTTTGGGCTTCTTCCGAGCATGAATTCGATGTTTCTATTGGCGACTGTTCCTTTAATTCTGTAGGATGCTTTAGAGAAGCAGTTTTTTCTCCCTGCAATGTTTCACCTGGCATTCTTAAAATCGTAGGAGCAGCCGACTTTGCTTCTTCCTTTAACTTCTTAAAGATTTTGATGGGAGAGAGGAGAGATCCTTTTAATACATACTCACAGTAGCAGGTGGGCATGATGAGGTCATCGTCGGTGAGGTCCTGCCATATATAACCGGTTTTGTACTTCCTGTAATATTAGTATTAATTTAAATAATTTGTTATCTATTTCATGATAGAATGTTACATAGTAGTGGATGACGTCGAACTAAGGCTTCGTTAGGGACGGTTTTTTTTTTTCTATTTTTTAAAACAGTTTTTTATGCA